ATGGGCAGGGCAGCGCGTGCGAGCAAGCACGACGCGCAGACCAGTGTATGGGCAGGGGTAACAACGGAAGGTACGGACCTAACCTAGTGACTAATACCATGTCAGAAGTAAATCCGCTGGGCAGTTGCAGATAATGACCACATTTCTACGCGAACAACCCTGGCACATTCGGCCGACACCCGGATTCCGAGGCTGCCACTTGTTGCCTTTGGTTTTCCCTTCCCCAAGCCTGCACCCGACCTTATCTTTCCGAGGTCCTCGCCTAACTAGGGTAGTTACTGTATTATCAATTGCAATAACACGGCCCATCAAGTCTCCCATTGGATTGTAACAAAGCCAGTAGAATCCATTATTAATGTTCAGGTTTAAGGAATATGGATGCTGACTCTTCTTTTTTTTTTTTTCTTGGAATATAGGAATACCACACTGTTGGGGACTATCCTAAAGATCAAGCTTCTCAAACAAGCCACGCCGAAATTCAAGGTTCTATAAGGAATTGTCTCGAAGTTCCTTACTGGGTTCTTCAACATCGCGTACAGTAGCAGCCGTTGTTCATCCGTTACTGCTAACGGTGCTTCGCCATCTTCGCGCGAACTGTTCCACCAAACCATGCACCGCTGGCCTGGCCGAGTCAGCCTACACTTCATGACTAGCCCGAACCTCGATGCCAGCCTAGCACTAGCTAGCTCGCACGCACCACGTTACCGTTTGCATGTTTCGCATATAAGTATTCCCTCATCCTTCGCTTATACTTTGTACTCGTTTGACACCTAGTGCAATCCTCGCTATCTCGTTCCATTGCACCCGTAACACTTGGTATTCAGAGCCACTTTCTTTTCGAACTGCGCATCTCCGCACCCAGAGAATTCAACGTTCGATTTGCTATACTCGAAGGGACTCACGCCCCTTAGCACCTAGAAGCCGCTGTCCTCGCGTACTCTCATAATCACGTGCAGCCACGACTGCGCCTAGAGCTAGGTCGAGCCGACGCCCTTTGAAATGGCTGAACATATTGACGTAACGACATTCACGCAGGAGCGCCTGAACGAACTACTTCAGCAACTATGCGAAAAATCTGAAGAAATCGCGGCGCTGATGGCAGAACGTACATCGCTGCAAAAAGACGTCGCACGGGCGCAACAAGCACAACCACAAGTACAAGGCACACAAGGAAAAGCAGCACGACAAGCTTCGCAACACAGAAGTGTGGAGCAACACTCGAGCGCGGCTAGTGATGGCGTCGCCCGCAACGACGGAGACGACGACCACGGCTCGACACACCCCGAAGCGACGAATGCGGCCAGGAGCCAACCGCGCATCACGATTTCGGGGCCGACCGGCGAGTCAGCACTGCCGTCGCCGATGCCGCTCAAGCCGCAGCGTCTACCTTGCTTCGATCCCAGCCAGTGGGGTGGTCCTACCAATCAGGCGTGGTTGTTTACGATGAACGTCTTCTTCGACGCGAACTGCGTCTTGGAGGATTCGACGAAGTTTCGATATGCCGTGTCGCTGTTGCGAGGACCCGTTATGGATTGGTGGCGCGTCATCGTCACAAAGCTGGTGGACTACGAGACTCTAACAACATGGGAAGGACAAACCAGACCCTGGGCGCCATCGTATTTCGTGGAGGTACCCCAATATCGGACGTGGGACGCATGGTGCTCAGGTTTGCGTGCACGATTCAAGCCAATCGTGGCTCTGATTGCGGCGCGACAGAGGCTCCACACTTGGGGCCAGCTCGGTTCCGTCCAGGACTATACTAGCGGGTTTTGGCGCTGTGCGAGCAGGTGAGCTATAAGCACGAGAGCGAGCGCATTGACCACTGCATCGGCGGCCTGAAACACGAGACCGCCCAAGAAATCCAGCTCCGCAACGTCACTGAATTTCAGGACATCCTCGCAATGGCGGAGAAGCTTGACTTCTTACGCTGACCGAGACCGAGGTCCTACGGCAACAACAGCAACTAGGGACATCTGTCTCGCGGGACGAACGAGCACGCCACGATAGGCGCTGCAACTTTTAAAGGGCGCTGCTTCGCGTGCAACAGGCCGGGGCACCGCAGAAGCGAATGCCCGGAAAACAATAAGGGAAAGGGGGAAGCTATGCAGCAGAAACAGACCAAGCAGAAGGGAAACGCTAGGAGTCAGTAGCAAATGGGCCCTCTACTGACAGATCATGCCACTCGCCCAACCCAACTGAACCTCACCGAGTTATTGTGCCGGTTCACGCAATCGATCACACCCGGCCGAATAGGGAGGGTTCAATGGTAGACAGCCCCATACTGCTTAGTGGGAAAATACAAACAGACGTAGTTAAGATCTTCGTATATGGGGGAGCCAGCCACAGCCTGATTAACACTGCAACATCGCGGAGACTGAAATTGCCACTGGACAGATGTATATCTGAGATTGACGCACGACTGGTCGACGGCACGCCACTGTTAAAAGCCTAAGTTGACTTAGGACTTGGGTTGAGGGTAGAACGAGAGTTACGAGAGGAAGGGGTCGAGAGATTTGCCAAAAGAGGATGTTCACTATAGAGCGAGCAGTACAAATAGGTAAGAATCAGGAAAGGTGCACCACCAATCAGAAAGTTATATGACTACAGTATTCTACACTACAGGCAGTTATAGAACAATATATAGAAATATATATTATTCTGACACGCCCCCATAAGTGCCTGTAGGGAAGAATGTGCAATCAACGCCCCCATAATGGGGTACACCAGACAGGGTGCAGTGGAAGAAACAGTGGCAGGCAAAAGCAGTGGTAACTGGTGCAGAAGTGGCAAAAACAGCTATAGCCAACCCTCAGCCAAGGAAGAAGCAGAAACAGGTGTGGGAGGCGGCAGGTCGCCTGAGGAGCAGGCTCTGTGGCTGCAACAAGCAGCAGGACAGCAGCGGCTCGACGGCAGCACCTGCAGGCCCCAGCAGCAGAAAACAGAAAACAGGGTAGGCGGCGACAGGGGCGACAGCAGCAGATACTCGGCTGTCTTCCGCCACCCTCTCTCACCCTCCCCCCCACAGCTGCACGCGTGACAGTGAGAGAGAGAGAGGAGGAAGGGCGGCTGCTGGCTTGGCAGAATGTCTCTTGCCACCCCCTCACACTCCCCCCCTTCCCCCATAGCGACAGGCGCTGCAGGGAGAGAGAGGAGAGAGGAGGGCGGCGGCTGGTTCCTGCGGGTACACTCCCGCCGCCCCTGCACCCTCCCCCCCACAGTGACAGTCGCGCATGGGGCGATAAAGGGCGACGGCAGGCGCTGCTGGTGTCTCACAGCGGTCACCCCGTCACGCCACCTCCCTCACTGTTCGCCACCGCCGCCACTTTTCCTCCACTGCCCGCCACCCTCACGACATTCCCTCACAGCAGGAGCGCTCGCGGCAGCTGTAGCGGGGCCGGTGGGAGGGAGGGCGGGGACAGTTGCACGGGCGCGACGGGCGGGACAGGGGGCCGGAACGGAGGTGCGACAAAACGGCGACGGGGCGGCATGGCCGCAAACGACGGGCGGAGCCAGCGCGACGGCCGCCCAGCTCGTCGCCACGACAGCCGCGCCCTTCGTCGCGAATGTCGCGACTTTTACAGCAACAAGCGCGCGACGGGTAGGGCGAACGAGCGGGACGACGCAGGCCGCAACGGAGGGTGCCATTACGAAAAAGAAACCACAGGCTAGGATCGAAGCATGCTTTGTACCATGTTAAAAGCCTTAGTTGACTTAGGACCTGGGTTGAGGGTAGAACGAGAGTTACGAGAGGAAGGGGTCGAGAGATTTGCCAAAAGAGGATGTTCACTATAGAGCGAGCAGTACAAATAGGTAAGAATCAGGAAAGGTGCACCACCAATCAGAAAGTTATATGACTACAGTATTCTACACTACAGGCAGTTATAGAACAATATATAGAAATATATATTATTCTGACAGCCACTTGCGATACAGGAACGTGTGGACCGAGCCGATGCGGGGTAGCTTCACGTTTATCCAGGAAATGCTTACAACGACCCTCGTTGGGACCGACATTTTTCTCGGCCGCGATTGGTTACAACGACACAATCCGCGAATCGACTGGACGACGGGTGACTGTACTGTGCGAGTGAACGATAACAACATCGCCCTACCTCGCTGGAGCTCGCCGAGTCTTTGTCGGTGCGTATCAACGCGATTGCGATGAAACGCGCTGTAGCGGCAGAAGCTGGCGTGTATGCTGTTGACATCCAGTTAGCCGAGGGAGCAGACAAGGGGAGCGATTCACATAAACTGCTCGCCGACGTACCGGGTGACTTGGCGGTATTTTTGAAGTATTCAGCTATATTTTTCTGGCCGATCTACCGGAGAGACTTCCACCTCAGAGACTACACGGCCATAGGATAGAACTGGAACCGGGGGCACAACCGACAGTAAAGCGGCAGTTCCGACTGACCCAACCCGAATTCGACAAACAACGGAAACAATTAGATTACCTGCTCGAGAAGAAGCTCATTCGCCCGAGTTCGTCACCTTTCGCGGCATACTGTTCACATCGAAGAAAGACGAGAGATTTCGCATGTGCATAGACTATCACGCACTGAACCGAGTAACCATCAAGTCCCGTTACCCCATCCCGCGAGCCGACGAACTGATCGACCAACTGCGCACAGCCCGGGTTTTCTCGAAAACCGCCTGACTGCCCGAAAACCGCCTTCCGAACCCGCTATGGGTCATTCGAATACGCGGTAATGCCTTTCGGACTGACCAACGTCTCCGTAACTTTCCAAATGACCATGAACAAAGCCTTACACCGTCTTTTAGATAAGTGTGTCATCGTCTACTTAGACGACATACTGATTTACAGCCCCGACAGAGCACAGCACCTACAGGACATCGAAGCAGTTTTTAAAATACTGAGTAAGAAAAGCCTACTGACCAAAGCCTTTAAGTGTGAGTTTTTACACGACAAACAGGAAATTTTTAGGGTACGTTATTTCAGCCGATGGAGTGGAAATAGACCCGAAGAAAATCGCGACGATTCAAGCAACACACACACACACACACACGCACGCACGCACGCACGCACGCACGCACGTGCGCGCACACACACACACAGACACACACACACACACACACACACACATACACACACACACACATACACACACACACACACACACACACATACACACACATCCACACCCACACACCCACACCCATAAACATACTCACGTAGTCAAACGCTTGCACAACGACAAACATACCAGGCAAAACACCCACAATAACTAATAAAAGCTGGAAAATAGGTACCAAGATAAGTATAATACCCTAAACGTAATCGCTACAAAGTTTCCAAACTGAAAGCGGCTTCCTGAAACAAACAGCAAGGGTCCTGCGGTCAAGCAAATAGTAGGGATAAAAAGCGAATTGCAGGAGAAGGAAGAACAGAGGGAAGACGGTAAATATAGAAGAAACAAAACTAACGATTTATTTATACCGATTTCGAAATCGGACGAACGTGGAATGACGAAATTGAAATGGACCGACGGAACGGAAAGCAAAGGAATGACATGCATACAAAATGATGTTTTAAAGGAACATTTCATGACATAAAACGAGGAATTTGAAGGCAGTAATGGAACGAAAGACATAAAAACAGCACAAAAGTAGGATAATTGAGAAAGTATGAGAACAAGGTGTGATGAAAAAAAAAAAACCCAAGAAACCAATAAACGAAAAAGAACTAGGAAAAAAAAGAAACAAGAAAGTTGTAATCTGATCTCACAACAAAGTGAAATTCCTATTGCTGATCAGATAGGAAGTAGAAGAAAGGAAAGGAAGAGGAAACGTGGAAGAAAGACGAGATAACAAGAGAAAACCAAGAAAAAAACGTAGTCAGAGGTATGACAAAGTTAAGAAAGAATCTTACAAGCTTAGAGTTGATATGAGATGCAGCAGATACACATTTTGAATTAACTTGATGACCTGCGAGCAAAAGGGGGTACGAATCGAAGTTGAAAACAAGAAACATAGAACATTTTCTCAACAATGTACAACCTATGTACTGATCTGCTGCAACCTTTAGACTATCCTAAGGAGAAAAATATATAAAGAACACGATGCAAGATGTATGGAAAACTGGAACGATAGTTACCAAGAAAGAGATGACGGACCGAAATAAGCTAGGTCAAAATAACCTGCAGGCCTTGATGGTTGACATGGCCTGCAGGCCTTACTTCAACCTAATTATCAAGGTCGAATTCCCATTGAGGACCTAATTTGGCCTATTAAGCTTGTCGAAATGGCGTGCACGGGATAATTTGACCTACTAAGCTAGCTCGATGATATGCAGGCGCTAATTCGACATAGCACAAATGATTTCACATAGTTAATGGTGAGTTAACTAACTCAAGAATGTTGAAAAACGACAGGTAAAAGGAGGGAAACGAAGAGAAAAGAAACTAGATCTAGAACTTCTAGTAGAAAGACCGAGACGACATACCTGACGAGGTGGACTAGGGTGGGTGGAAGCCACGGTAGTTGTGAAAGAAGCAGGACAGCAGCGAGAGAAGCGAGACAGCAAGAAAAGAATGAAGAATGAAAACCTAACTACAATTTCGTCGCAAAAAGAACGGACAGGAATGTTTCGATGCTTTCCAAAGTCAGAGGCTTCGGCGCAGTTAGCTGAAGATGCACCTGTCAATCGGAAGGTGCAGGTTCGAATCTAGTGAGAGAACTTCTTGCCCTGACTTGGAAGTGCTGTTCTAAATCTCATTTCTACATTACAAATGGTTACATTTGTCAAACATTATATGTTTATATGATTGTAGGCTGTAGTGGGTTACACCTTAGGGGGTACACTAGATTAGGGTTTACTACTTGTATCCAACTTTGTGCTAGTACAGTCATTCCAGTCCGTTGATTGTGACATGGTTTCAGAGCAGGTCCTTCGCTAGGACCGTTCTTAGGGCCCACCGCTACCTACCTACCTACCTACCTATCGTGCGCCCTCGTGCGCCCTCGTACGCGCCTTAGTGCGCCTCCTACCTACCGCGCGCGCGCAGCCCGCCAGCCACTCGCGCGCGGCTCGTTTCTTTTTTATTTTTACCGCGCGCGACCCGCTAGCTGCCCGCGCGCGGCTGATTTCTTTTGAGCGCGCGACCAGCTAGCCGCCCGCGCGCCGCTCGCACCGCTAAGGCGCAGCCCGCCGCGGCCCCGCCGGCCTGCACATTGCCGCCCGCCCGCTGCAGCTGCCGCCCGCTCGTCGCCCGCTGCTGCTGCGCCGCTCGTCGCCCGCTGCAGCTGCCGCCCGCTCGTCGCCCGCTGCAGCTGCCGCCCGCTCGTCGCCCGCTGCTGCTGCCGCTACCACGGTCCCGCCGCTGCAGCTACAGCTTGCGCGTCGCCCGCAGCCGCTCCCGCTCGTGCGCCGCGGCCGCTACCGCCCGTGCGCTCCTGTTGCGCCTGCTACCGCTGCCGCTGCTGCACTCGCTCCCGCTGCAGCCGCCGCTACTGCGCCCGCTGCCGCTGCCGCCCGTGCGCCTCAGCTGCTGCCGCCCGTGTGCTGTCACTGCCGCTGCCGCCCGTGCGCCTAAGCCGCTGCCGCTCGTGCGCCGCTGCTGCTGCCGCCCGTGCACTACCCCTCCTTTGCCGCTGCTGCCGGCCTGTCGACCCTGCCGCTACCGCCCGTGCACTTTCTTTTAGTGGCCCCGCCGGCCCCGTTGACACCGCCCACAGCTTCCCTGCGGCCTCATTCTTACTGTTTCTACCGCTACTGCTACTGCCGCTATGGCTACTCCTACTGTACTTACTTTCGATGCTGAGGGCCGTCCAGTGAAGTTCGAAACCTGGCTCGATGACCTCCACCTCTTTCTACAGCTCACTGCTAAGGAGGACATTTCACTGTACGATCATGCCCTAGGCAACGCTACTGCCCCTCCTACCACTGCTGACAGCACTCAGCGCTCACAGTGGCAGACTCGTGACGCCCACGCTCGCTTCGCTATTCGTAACTCCCTACCGATCGACGAGCGCGAGCACTTTGGCCAGCACAAAACTGCTAAGGACCTGTACACTGCTGTAGTCGCTCGCTACTCCTCACCCGCTTCTGCCACACTAGGCCGCCTCACTCTCCCCTACCTGTTCCCCGACCTGGCCTCCTTTCAGACAGTTGCTGACCTCATCACCCACCTTAAGACTAGTGAGGCCCGCTTTCGCGCTGCTATGCCTGACGAGTTCCTTACTAGCAACCCCCCCCCGCTCTGGATCACTCTCTACCACATAGTCACCCGCCTCCCCGACTCCCTGCGCACAGTCAGGGACCACTTCCTCTCTCGCTCCCCCACTGAACTCACCATTGCCCTCCTCGAGAAGGAACTGCTTGCAGCTGAGGCGAGCATCGTCGCTGTAGGCACCTCTCGTGGCGACCCCCGCACCCCGTTCTTTGAGGGGTGTTCCCCTTCCCCTCTCCTCCCCTCTGTCGCCTCTGCTGCTGCTGTCGACCTCCTTGGTGCTGAGAAGGTCGGGACCGCGTCTGCTTCGAGCGGGCGCCGCAAGAGCAAAGGGGGCAAGGGTGGAGGTGGCGGCGGAGGAGGTGGGGGTGGAGGCGGTGGGAGTGGAGGAGCGGCTGGGGAGGCTAGTGGCGGCAGTGGGGGTGGTGACAGCAGCGGCGGGAGTGGCGGCAGGGGTGGAGGCGGCAGCGGAGGCGGAGGTGGTCGTGGCAGCGGCAGGGGTGGAGGTGGCCGAGGCGGTGGCGGCGGCGGTGGTGGTCGTGGAGGCGCTGGTGGTGGCCAGAGTCAGCAGCCCGCCCCGTCGCTTCAGGCCGCCCGTGAGTGGTATGCGCAGCGTGGCTTTACCTGCACGTACGTCATTCGCACTGGTGACCGCACTGGCCAGCAGTGTGGGAGGCAGCACCCCACGCAGCGCTGTTTCGCGCGCCTTACCGACGCGTGGCGTGCCCAGTTTCCTGATGCCACTGAGCTGCCCCGCTGCTGCCACCACCGACGTAACCACTCCCCTACGAAGTGAATTCATAGTGGGACAACAAGGAGGCGCGCGACCAGGAGGGCAGTACGGAGGGAAGGGAGTAGCACGAGCAGTAGCAGAAGCAGGAAGAGCAGCAGAGCGGCTCGGTGAGGCTAGGCTGCAGCACCTTCAGCACTCCTAGCAGCACCTCCACCATAAGAAGCAGTAGCACGAGCAATAGGGCGGCTCGGGCTGGGCGGCGCGGCTCAGTCTGGCCGGCGCGGCTCGATCTGGGCGGCGCTGGCAGCAGGGCGCGCACCGTGCAGGGCAGCAGGGTGCGACGCGCGGGCTGCAGCAGGGCGCGACGCGCGGGGCAGCAGGGCGCGACGCGCGGGCTGCAGCAGAGCGCGACGCGCTGGGTAGCAGGGTGAGACGCGCGGGCCAACAGAGCGCGACGCGCGGGCTGCCATAGGGCGCGACGCGCTGGGTAGCAGGGCACGACGTGCGGACTGCAGCAGGGCGCGACGCGCGGAGCAGTAGAGCGCTACGCGCGGGCTGCAGCAGGGCGCGGCGTGCAGGGCAAGGCGTGCACGGGGCAGCGCGACGTGGGGCAAGGCAGGGCGTGCGCGGGGCAGCGCGACGCGGGGCAGGGCAGGGCGTGCGCGGGGCAGCGCGACGCGGGGCAGGGCGTACACGGGCAGTGTGACGCAAGGCAGGGCCGGGCAGGGCGCGTGCCGACGGCGCAGTGCAGGGCAGGGCGTAGGTTAACGTGGTAACCGTAGTCAATCACTAGGTAATGGTGGGCCCGAATAAAAAACGGTCCTACGGACCTACTGCTCTGATACCATGTCAGAAACAACTAACGAGCAGGGATGATGGATTGATCAGATTACAAGTGCTAACCCTAAACTGGGTTGTACCCTATATGGGCTACCCCACTACAGCCTACACAGGACAAGCATGATAACAGTTTGACATGCTAGGCGGGCATCGAGGTTCGGGCTAGTCCCGAAGAGCAGGCCGACTCGGCCAGGCCAGCGGTGCATGGTTTGGGCGAACAACGGCTGCTGCTGTATGCGATGTTGAAGAACGCGGTAAAGAATGTCGAGAAAATTCCTTACACTAACGGGCGGTGTGGGTCGGGGATGTGCAGTACAGTCGACGAGCAAAAAAAATGTTGAAGAGCCGAGAAGGCAGCTTGCTCTTTCTCCCCCCACGTGTACTCAACCCCCTTCCTTAGCAGATCCGTGCTGTGGGGCGGTCAGCCTTTCCATGTTGGGGATAGGGCCCTATATGTCAGACTTTTTAGTCTGATTCAGAGTCCGTTCATACTTTTTTTTGTACCTAGTCTGAAGTCTAAGAATGTTTTTATGTACCGTGTCTGATTTTTCAGAGTTTTTTTGGGTTACGAAGCAACCTATTACGATCGATTTGGCCAGTTTTTTTTCCACATTTTTAATTTATTCAAAAAAAATTGTGAGAAAAAATCAAGATGCCCTAATTGCTGCCTACGTAAAATGTAGGAGATTTGGTATAGTTCAATTATATTAATATGATGGTAGTTATTTCCTTTGGGTAACTAGGTTGTTCCTGTGATTCATTATGTTGTGGTTTACCAGCAGATAATATGCAAATAAGGTGAAAAAAATGAATATAATGATTGGTGAATGAAGATGAACTTAATGATAGTATACTAAATATAATATATTATGTAATATATGATATGATAGATGCTAAATATATGCCATGCGTTTGATATAACATAATAATTATTATGGACAGTCCATGATGCATATTTATAATGATGTAAATGCGTGAAAGCTAACGATCCAAAATCTATGCTACCGCATCCCCTGCCTAGCATGGGGGGGAGCTAATAGCATAATCTCTGAACAATCAGCAGTCACATGAAACAACACAATCTGTGAACTCTAAAAAGATGGTCAACTCCATCACGTCCAGTTCAACTGGGCTCCCGACAGGCGCGCCTATGAACCTTTTAATGAAATGATAGACCTGATTCACCTTTTTAAAATCCATAGACATGCATTGTTATTGCAATGAAAATATGGGTTAATGAAATGGATAATGCACACACACACACACACATACACACACACACACACACACACACGCACGCACGCACGCACGCACGCGCGCACGCGTGCGCGCACGCACGCGCGCACACACGCACACACACACACGCACACACACACACGCACACACACACACGCACACACACACACGCACACACACACACGCACACACACACACACACACACATACACACACACACACACACACACACACCCATAAACATACTCACGTAGTCAAACGCTTGCACAACGACAAACATACCAGGCAAAACACCCACAATAACTAATAAAAGCTGGAAAATAGGTACCAAGATAAGTATAATACCCTAAACGTAATCGCTACAAAGTTTCCAAACTGAAAGCGGCTTCCTGAAAGAAACAGCAAGGGTCCTGCGGTCAAGCAAATAGTAGGGATAAAAAGCGAATTGCAGGAGAAGGAAGAACAGAGGGAAGACGGTAAATATAGAAGAAACAAAACTAACGATTTATTTATACTGATTTTGAAATCGGACGAACGTGGAATGACGAAATTGAAATGGACCGACGGAACGGAAAGCAAAGGAATGACATGCATACAAAATGTTGTTTTAAAGGAACATTTCATGACATAAAACGAGGAATTTGAAGGCAGTAATGGAACGAAAGACATAAAAACAGCACAAAAATAAGATAATTGAGAAAGTATGAGAACAAGGTGTGATGAAAAAAAAAAAACCAATAAACGAAAAAGAACTAGGAAAAAAAAGAAACAAGAAAGTTGTAATCTGATCTCACAACAAAGTGAAATTCCTATTGCTGATCAGATAGGAAGTAGAAGAAAGGAAAGGAAGAGGAAACGTGGAAGAAAGACGAGATAACAAGAGAAAACCAAGAAAAAAACGTAGTCAGAGGTATGACAAAGTTAAGAAAGAATCTTACAAGCTTAGAGTTGATATGAGATGCAGCAGATACACATTTTGAATTAACTTGATGACCTGCGAGCAAAAGGGGGTACGAATCGAAGTTGAAAACAAGAAACATAGAACATTTTCTCAACAATGTACAACCTATGTACTGATCTGCTGCAACCTTTAGACTATCCTAAGGAGAAAAATATATAAAGAACACGATGCAAGATGTATGGAAAACTGGAACGATAGTTACCAAGAAAGAGATGACGGACCGAAATAAGCTAGGTCAAAATAACCTGCAGGCCTTGATGGTTGACATGGCCTGCAGGCCTTACTTCAACCTAATTATCAAGGTCGAATTCCCATTGAGGACCTAATTTGGCCTATTAAGCTTGTCGAAATGGCGTGCACGGGATAATTTGACCTACTAAGCTAGCTCGATGATATGCAGGCGCTAATTCGACATAGCACAAATGATTTCACATAGTTAATGGTGAGTTAACTAACTCAAGAATGTTGAAAAACGACAGGTAAAAGGAGGGAAACGAAGAGAAAAGAAACTAGATCTAGAACTTCTAGTAGAAAGACCGAGACGACATACCTGACGAGGTGGACTAGGGTGGGTGGAAGCCACGGTAGTTGTGAAAGAAGCAGGACAGCAGCGAGAGAAGCGAGACAGCAAGAAAAGAATGAAGAATGAAAACCTAACTACAATTTCGTCGCAAAAAGAACGGACAGGAATGTTTCGATGCTTTCCAAAGTCAGAGGCTTCGGCGCAGTTAGCTGAAGATGCACCTGTCAATCGGAAGGTGCAGGTTCGAATCTAGTGAGAGAACTTCTTGCCCTGACTTGGAAGTGCTGTTCTAAATCTCATTTCTACATTACAAATGGTTACATTTGTCAAACATTATATGTTTATATGATTGTAGGCTGTAGTGGGTTACACCTTAGGGGGTACACTAGATTAGGGTTTACTACTTGTATCCAACTTTGTGCTAGTACAGTCATTCCAGTCCGTTGATTGTGACATGGTTTCAGAGCAGGTCCTTCGCTAGGACCGTTCTTAGGGCCCACCGCTACCTACCTACCTACCTACCTACCGTGCGCCCTCGTGCGCCTACGCGCCTCAGTGCGCCTCCTACCTACCGCGCGCGCGCAGCCCGCCAGCCACTCGCGCGCGGCTCGTTTCTTTTTTATTTTTACCGCGCGCGACCCGCTAGCTGCCCGCGCGCGGCTGATTTCTTTTGAGCGCGCGACCAGCTAGCCGCCCGCGCGCCGCTCGCACCGCTAAGGCGCAGCCCGCCGCGGCCCCGCCGGCCTGCACATTGCCGCCCGCCCGCTGCAGCTGCCGCCCGCTCGTCGCCCGCTGCTGCTGCCGCCCGCTCGTCGCCCGCTGCAGCTGCCGCCCGCTCGTCGCCCGCTGCTGCTGCCGCCCGCTCGTCGCCCGCTGCAGCTGCCGCCCGCTCGTCGCCCGCTGCTGCTGCCGCTACCACGGTCCCGCCGCTGCAGCTAGAGCCTGCGCGTCGCCCGCAGCCGCTCCCGCTCGTGCGCCGCGGCCGCTACCGCCCGTGCGCTCCTGTTGCGCCTGCTACCGCTGCCGCTGCTGCACTCGCTCCCGCTGCAGCCGCCGCTACTGCGCCCGCTGCCGCTGCCGCCCGTGCGCCTCAGCTGCTGCCGCCCGTGTGCTGTCACTGCCGCTGCCGCCCGTGCGCCTAAGCCGCTGCCGCTCGTGCGCCGCTGCTGCTGCCGCCCGTGCACTACCCCTCCTTTGCCGCTGCTGCCGGCCTGTCGACCCTGCCGCTACCGCCCGTGCACTTTCTTTTAGTGGCCCCGCCGGCCCCGTTGACACCGCCCACAGCTTCCCTGCGGCCTCATTCTTACTGTTTCTACCGCTACTGCTACTGCCGCTATGGCTACTCCTACTGTACTTACTTTCGATGCTGAGGGCCGTCCAGTGAAGTTCGAAACCTGGCTCGATGACCTCCACCTCTTTCTACAGCTCACTGCTAAGGAGGACATTTCACTGTACGATCATGCCCTAGGCAACGCTACTGCCCCTCCTACCACTGCTGACAGCACTCAGCGCTCACAGTGGCAGACTCGTGACGCCCACGCTCGCTTCGCTATTCGTAACTCCCTACCGATCGACGAGCGCGAGCACTTTGGCCAGCACAAAACTGCTAAGGACCTGTACACTGCTGTAGTCGCTCGCTACTCCTCACCCGCTTCTGCCACACTAGGCCGCCTCACTCTCCCCTACCTGTTCCCCGACCTGGCCTCCTTTCAGACAGTTGCTGACCTCATCACCCACCTTAAGACTAGTGAGGCCCGCTTTCGCGCTGCTATGCCTGACGAGTTCCTTACTAGCAACCCCCCCCCGCTCTGGATCACTCTCTACCACATAGTCACCCGCCTCCCCGACTCCCTGCGCACAGTCAGGGACCACTTCCTCTCTCGCTCCCCCACTGAACTCACCATTGCCCTCCTCGAGAAGGAACTGCTTGCAGCTGAGGCGAGCATCGTCGCTGTAGGCACCTCTCGTGGCGACCCCCGCACCCCGTTCTTTGAGGGGTGTTCCCCTTCCCCTCTCCTCCCCTCTGTCGCCTCTGCTGCTGCTGTCGACCTCCTTGGTGCTGAGAAGGTCGGGACCGCGTCTGCTTCGAGCGGGCGCCGCAAGAGCAAAGGGGGCAAGGGTGGAGGTGGCGGCGGAGGAGGTGGGGGTGGAGGCGGTGGGAGTGGAGGAGCGGCTGGGGAGGCTAGTGGCGGCAGTGGGGGTGGTGACAGCAGCGGCGGGAGTGGCGGCAGGGGTGGAGGCGGCAGCGGAGGCGGAGGTGGTCGTGGCAGCGGCAGGGGTGGAGGTGGCCGAGGCGGTGGCGGCGGCGGTGGTGGTCGTGGAGGCGCTGGTGGTGGCCAGAGTCAGCAGCCCGCCCCGTCGCTTCAGGCCGCCCGTGAGTGGTATGCGCAGCGTGGCTTTACCTGCACGTACGTCATTCGCACTGGTGACCGCACTGGCCAGCAGTGTGGGAGGCAGCACCCCACGCAGCGCTGTTTCGCGCGCCTTACCGACGCGTGGCGTGCCCAGTTTCCTGATGCCACTGAGCTGCCCCGCTGGGCTGATCTGGAGAAGAAGGGAGTTGATATCTGGGCTCTAGACTTTGATGCTATTCTCACTGCCATGTATGCGATGTTTACTAGTGGAGAGGGTGCTCAGTACTTGCGTGTTCTGCCCGACCCGGGCATTCAGACCAGTCCGGCTGCCGCTCTAGGTGCTAGTGAGTCTGCTGCCCCAGGTCCTGGTGAGGCTGCTGCTCTAGGTGCTAGTGAGTCCGTGCCCGCTGGTACTGAGTCGACTGCTGCACTGCACACCTTCACACTGGACTCAGGTGCTTCTCGCTGTTTCTTTCGTGACCGCACTGTCCTTGAGCCACTCGCTCGGCCAGTTGCTGTCTCCCTTGCTGACCCCTCTGGGGGTCCGGTCGTTGCGACCTCCTCCACTGTCCTTCCTTGTCCTGCGGTCCCGTCAGGCACACTGTCAGGTCTCTACCTCCCCTCGTTCTCTACGAACTTGGTGGCAGGTAGTGCGCTCCAGGACGGGGGTGTTCACCAGTTCACCCCTGCTTACGAGCGCGTGACACACTGCACGTGTGCTCGGACGGGCCGTCACCTGGCTACCTTCACTCGGCAGCCGGGGTCGGACCTGTACACACTGACCACTGAGTCCCCCCAGGTAGCTGCGTCCGCGTCTGCGTCTGCGTCTGCGTCAGGTCAGCTGTCCGCCCCCTGCTCGTGTCGCTCTCTGGCGCATGAGACTGTCCTCTGGCACCACCGCCTTGGTCACCCGTCTGTGCAGCGCCTTCGGGCCATGCACAAACGGGACCTTGTTGCTGGTCTTCCCAGGGTTCTCCCTCCCCTCCCACCCTCGCCTGCTCCTCCCTGTCTTCCCTGTGTCGAGGGGCGGCAGCGCGCCGCTCCTCACTCCTCCTCCTTCCCCCCGACGACTGCTCCTTTGCAGACGCTCCACATGGATGTGTGGGGCCCAGCCCGCGTCCGTGGTCAGGGTCAGGAGCGGTACTTCCTGATTGTTGTTGACGACTTCTCGCGCTACACCACGGTCTTCCCCTTGCGCACCAAGGGTGACGTCCCTGATGTCTTGATCCCTTGGATCCGCAGATCTCATCTCCAGCTCAGTGAGCGTTTCCGCTCCGACTTCCCTGTCCTGCGTCTGCACTCTGACAGAGGTGGGGAGTTTTCCTCTGGCCTCTTGGAGGCCTTCTGTCAGCAGGAGGGCATTGAGCAGTCGTTCACGCTTCCGGCCTCTCCACAGCAGAATGGGGTTGCTGAGCGCCGCATTGGCTTGGTCATGGAGGTCG